TGTGGCCGGGGTGCATCATCAACACATCGTGCATCTAAAATTATCCCCGATTATGACAATAAAAACAGCTGTAAGTATACAGTGAGGGAAATAAGTATTTGATCCCCTGCTGATTTTGTACATTTGCCCACTAACGAAGAAATGATCAGTCTATAATTTTAATGGTAGGTTTATTTAAACAGTGAGAGACAGAATAAAAAAAATCCAGAAAAACATGTCAAAAATGTTATAAATTGATTTTCATTTTAATGAGGGAAATAAGAATTTGACCCCTCTCAATGAGAAAGATTTCTCTTAAAGGGAGTGCTCCTAATCTCAGCTTGTTACCTGTATAAAAGACACCTGTCCACAGAAGCAATCAATCAAATTCCAAACTCTCCACCATGGCCAAGACCAAAGAGCTCTCCAAGGATGTCAGGGACAAGATTGTAGACCTATATCAAAGTGTGGCATTGGCATTGTGTGCATGTTGAGTAGCGTGGAGAGGGTTGGCTCGAGAATAAGCGCGGCAGGCAGAGGCCATGCGCAAGATTAATTTCCCTGGCATTCAAGTGTCCAGCACGGCCAGAGGGGAAACTCTTCAACCTCGCTCCCGCTGATCCCCATCACGGATCGCGTGGCAAACAGAGGTAGAGGGGAGTCGGGGAGCACGTGTGTGTGGCCTTACAGCAAGTCGTGTGGTGGACCGTAACGGGTGGAGGCCGTTCTCCAATTCGCCTTTAACGAAAGAACTAAGAATATGAATTACTGCAGTCACGAAAGCTTTAAATCAAAATTTAATATGGGCTTTGTTGACTATGCCAGTGCAAGTTTCCATGCGCTCATATGAGGCTCCGAAAACCTCCGTGAGGCGGTGTAAGTGTGACTCGGGCACGTGTTGCCACTGGCGATGGATGGCTGTTGAGTCACAAAAGCCATCAATCTTGAGGCTATATCCGCGAGTAATAAGAACAAATAGTAATTTACAATCCTTTATCCATCCACTGCTGGATGGAAGGCCTCCCCAGCGCGCTGACTGTGGGGGATTGCTTGACCATCTTTCACCACGCTAGTCAGTGCCGGGCTGAAGTGGTTGGAACCCAGGAGCGGCACAAATACAAATTTGCAAGCGATATTAGCTGTGGCCAGAAAATAGAAACTCAGGTTTTGCCAGGTTCTCAGCACAGTTGCACTATCCACGGTGCTCTCGCTACACCAGGATGGTTTGTACTAGATGAGAATTCCACAAGCATTGACGACACATTTGTACAGCCACCCTTGCTTCAGCTGCTGCCTCCGATGCAGACAATTTCGTAGCAGTGTGTCTGCTACTAACAATTCGGCTTCCCATTTATCTGTGCATTTACCTTAAACCTCGACTTCGCTACATAACCTTACTCAAAACTCTTTATCTGGTTATTTAAACCCAGTACCAAGAACTGTGCCAAAAACATTGAACCTTAAACACGCACCCATATTCTCCGAAACAAGTTACCTGATTAGCTCACCTTAATAAGCATGGTTTTGAAATCTGCTCTTTGTCTTGTGGCATTGTCTCAAATCTTACGAGTTGTATTTTTATCTGGTCTCATAACATGACTGCTGCTTGTGATGATCTTTCTGACTATAACCAGATGAAAAGAGCATATTGAAATAGCACACCTCTTTCACAAGTGAGACTTGGGAGACACCAAGTCTCCAAAGTCTCACTCACTCACATGCTATAAGGACTGCCCGCAAAAAATTACATCATAGAATGACTTCTGACAACTGTTTCAGCGACTGTATTTTATCCATATACTAGGCGGTGCACTTTCCCATTCGTCCCGATAAAGATAAATGTTCAGCCAAATACAGGTAGTCCTCTACTTACGATGGAGATGCGTTACGACGACCCCAACGTAAGTAAAAAAATATCGTAAGCCGAAGATGGCCTAGCCTACCCAGGAGTCTTAAAGAATGGTGATAATTTAGCAAAACAGAGCAATTTACAGTACCGTACTGTATCAACTATATACTGTATGTATTTATTAATTACAATACTGTGTTGCACAGCAAAATGTAAAGTAAAAAAACAAGGTACAGTACACGCGCTAACACCGAGACAACTTAACTCCGTCGACCAGAGTGTTGAGAGTGAGGCATCACCACACAAGGAGGGAGATGCGAACATCCCGGCAGCGTCCCAACGCACAGTATCGTACCTCGTATGCTGCTGCGTTTGCCTGCCGCGCGAAATTTAAAATATTTTACAATTTTGTCGTATCGCTATCGCCATCGTAACATCGAAATATCGTAAGTCGGACCATCGTAACTCGGGGACTTATCTGTAAAGCGAAAGCCAACTTCAACGTGGTGGGGTTTTGTGCAGTCATTTGTGACCAGGCCAAGACCGTCGTCAAGTCACTCCACTTGAGAACAGAAACTGAAAGCTGGATTTGAACCGAGGTTTTCAGCGGCGCCAGAGAAGTGCTCTGGCCCCTGATCCACTCCGGCCACATTTTCTTTCGCACTCCCTCGTTTTTAACAGTGGCCGCACACGTCGCAGCAGAAGGGCTTCTCGCCCGAGTGCATCTGCAGGTGGCGCCGCAGGCCAAACGCCTGCGCGAACGCCTGACCGCACACCTTGCAGCGGTGCGGGTTGTCGGCGGAGGCTGCATTCGCCAGCGAGCACTTGCGCTCGTACGGCTCGGCATCTCCACCGGAGGGCTTCTGCCCCGTCGCTTTGCCGAGACCCTCCTGCCGATGGTTTGCCTGCGCGGGAATGAGCGTCGCCCCCTCGGCGGCTGGGCTGCAGCCTTCACGACGGCGGTGGCGGCGATTTCTTCTTCTGCTTCGGTCATTTCGCCTTTCTCCGACTCTGACGAAGCGTACTGGCCAAATTGACGACAGGTTTTTTTTGCATGCATTCATTTGGTGCCACCAGCATTTGTTTTAAACATCCACCGTTTCGACTCACACTTACCAAAGCGTTTCTTGGTAGTGTACTCCACGGAGCCTTGCTCCGTCAATTGAGGAACCAGTATAGAATTCGAGAAATAAGCGTCGTCATCTGGAAGTGGGGGAAAACAAGCGGCCAAGTGTTCAAAACGAAACTGCTGTCAGGCAAAGTTACTGCTGCACCTGTCACTTTTGCGCGAGTGACCCTGTGAACGGTAGTGCGGTGGTTCTTGCACTGCGGCATACTGAACCCGCGACATGACTTGGATTCCCGGTCACGGCAACCATCAGCGGCAAGTGATATCTAAATGGTTCCTTTACCAACCGACGGTGACCAAGCACGGGTGTGCGTGCGGTGGTAGGGCTGCATTACAATAACATTAACGCAACAAAATATTATTTTCCGCAATATAACACTACGAATAAACGGGATATTTTAAATGACACATAAGCAGTTTAACATGTGGGCTTTCGCGACCAATATTATCCATAACGGAAGTTTTTGGGTTAGATCGTGTAAATATAAATGTGTCGTTAAAGCTCTCCACCACCTGACACAGCTAATTAGTAAGGTTTGTTCCGTAAACAGAACCTGCCAATTCGTTACTAGTTCAGCACACCGGTGCGTTGAAGGGTAAAACCCACAACGTTTACAATTCGAGTACAGTTTTGTTTATGTGACAAACATTATTAATTGGGCGTGTCGTGTGGTGGTGGGTTTAACGACGCATTTTGATTTACACGATGTAGCTCAAAATAACCTCTATTATGGATAGCATATAAACAGTAACATCAAGTAACAGTAAAAGAGTTTACATAGCTTGCAATTAATGTGGTGATATTGTATACACAATGGTGTTCAAGCCGTACCTTCATAGGACTCAATTTTAACATGATCCGCTGCTACGTTGCCATAGGAGTCATCCATGACTGGAGTGGACCGCTCGTCTGGCTTATCTGCACATATGCAAAGCCAGTGCATCAACACGCATTTAAGCCACTGACAACATACAAGCCATCAATACAGAGGATGTACCGGGTCATCGAATTTTGAGGCCCTCCACTAATTTCTAATGAGCAGGTGAATCCTCGAGAGAACGGAGAGATTCACTTGCAGGGAGTGTGGACCCCGAGTCATCAAAATTACAAAAGCGAATAACAAATAATCACGTGCAACTACGAAGTGAAGAGAAATCAGAGGAAACAAGCAATAGCGTGGTTAATTCTAGATTTGAAGTTTTCGTGACTGCACGGATCCATATTCTTTGGTTCTTTCGGTAAACTCACGTAGGTAAAAACTTAATAAAATTACCTACGTGACTTTACCGACAGAACCAAAGAGCAAGCAATAGCGTCGCAGATGGAATAAGAAAAAGAACGCACGGACATGAATCAATATTAAACTCGATTAAATTCCTTTAACAAAGGTTATCTTCTGACAAATGACATTTAAAACCGTTCACAGCAAAGTGTAGTGATGTAAACATTGACATGGAATTAGGGTAATTATTTCACTCGAATGTAAACTGACGTCATATGCAACTGCAAGCGAAGATATTGTACAGAATCGGCCGTTCTGCATCAAATTGTAAAATAGATGGAAGAGTGACCAAATACATTATTAAAGGGCTGTACATGTACATTGTAATGTTGTACACAGGTCGATCACTGTATTGATACACCTGTGATGTTTCAATAACAAGTCTTCTCGAAAGGGTGATTGAATATTGCGAAACCGATGGCTTGCATACATGACAAAGGAGAATGTCAAAGGGATTCATAAAGTGCATTGAGTGTGGCGAGAGCCACAAAAAAGCTTTGAAATAAAACGTTCTTTTCACCGTCATTTCTCCGTATTATTTTAGTGGGGTGCACATATGAACCTCATGGTGGGTACCCCGGGGTCCCGAATAAACGGAAGTGAAAATCGCAATGAACTAATTTACTTTTGGCGACTCCGTCCCACCGCGCACATAAAACGCCGCGACCCACCTGGCGCGGATCGTTCTGTTGCCGTGTCGTCCAAGCGCAGCGAGGACGAATGCGCAGAAGGAACAAAACTTTGAAACTTTGATAAGCGCATCGTGCAGAGCTCATCGAGAGGAATAGATTGCCGAATCGGTCGCCTTCAGACATTAAATGACGTCGCAATGCAGTTCATGCGAGAGCCGGGGGCTTATGGGACCCCGGGGTCCTGCCATCAGGTTCATATGTCAATGGATCAATGGAGGTTGTGGAACGAACACTAATAATAGCCACTTGCAAACCTGTGCCACGTGCTCATGTTGCATGTGCATGTGATGTCCTGCATGTGCCGTGTTCATTTAAAACACAGACAGCTAATGGTCCTCACTGGGTGTTCCTGAAGATGATCCAGGAATACCGTGCCAACCTCGACTACCATCCGCTCTCCATCTTTGACCAGGTTCTTGAAGGCCCCCCCTCCCCATGCCTTGTTAACTATCTCGCCTAGTATGCAGGAGGTCGGTGGGTTCAGTCCCGACCCCTGGTGCCTGTATATTTGGCGTTTCCATGTTCTCTCCGTGGTCACACGAATTTTTTTTCCCGGGTGCTCCGGTTTTTCTCTCCATTTCTAAACGTGCGTTTAGAGTATTATTTTGGCTGCTACACATTTCCACGTGATAAGCCGCTTCGTTCAGCTATCACTTGTGGCCAAGTCGCTTCTGGAAAGAGCTACATAGCTCAGTGGGCCTTACCTGGTACGATACAAGTTCCGTTCTTTCAGTACTCTGACTTTATACCGTGCGAACCTTGGCTCTATTCAGGTGGAGGAGCGAAAGATCTGCGTCTGCGTCAGAAAGCGCCCACTCAACAAAAAAGGTACTCGTGGGTGGGAGGTGGGGCGTGAGTGGGAGAGGGGGTGGGAGGGTGGAAGGGAGGCTATGTAGTCAGTTTTGCAGTGTAACGGGAATTAAATTTTGATTTAAAGCTTTCGTGACTGCAAGGATTCATCTTCTTTGGTTCTTTCGGTAAAGTCACGTAGAATGAGAATAAAATAATAAATTGATAAAATAAAATAACACAATAACATTCTCAATGTATTATTTTATTCTCATTCTACGTGACTTTACCGAAAGAACCAAAGAAGATAACGGGGATTACACAAGTAGTTCAGCGATTCGTCCTGTAGACAAACCTCAGCTGTCTGCACTCACGACTGATGATGCCCGTGTGTTATCGCAGGAATAATTGTATGCATGTTGAACTTCTTTTGCACCATTAGTAGCCAATCGTGCCATCAGAGGTGTGGGGAAAGGACAACGATTTAAACAAAGCAGTGCTAAAGAAACGAGTTTGCAATCTAGTTGAATGTTTATTGTGTAGCATTTCAAGACTCATTTGCAGTCACATACCGAACAATACGTAGTACCCACCCCCCCGCTACTCCCCCCCACGCTACCCCCCCACCCCCGCTAAGACCGCATGCAAGAGCTGTTGACAAATATTTCTATAATCGGTTTTACGATGATGATGGCTGAAATTTAATGCCTAGGCATTTTGCGACCAATATTATGGTTCATAATTTTGTATCGGTCCGGTCATCTTAAGTACATGTGTGTCGTACACCCTCCACCACCCATCACACCCAATTTATAAAAGTTGTAACGTGAGCAAACGTGTGCCAGTCTCTTACTGCTTCAGCATATCCGGTGTGCTGTCGAGCAATTCACAACAATCTTAACGGTTCATTAAATTCTGTGAATTGCTTACGACACCCATTTTTACCTGCGCGATGTGACCCGAAAATCAATTGCGAAATCGGACGACGATCCCGTTGGTGGTGTCTGCGCACGTGTGACCCAGAGCTGGCGCAGAAGGAGATTGATGTGGTGACGGTGCCCAGCCGCGATGTGCTCATGGTCCACGAGCCCAAACACAAGGTTGACCTCACCAAGTACCTGGACAACCAGACGTTCCGCTTCGACTACGCCTTCGACGAGTCGACCTCCAACGAAATCGTCTACAAGTGAGACGGCGCGGCTGGGTCGCTGCCACCGCCGCTGCCCACCCACTGCCCCCCCCCCTACCCACCACCCCATTGAGCCATTGCCACACCTGAACACTCTTCCTTCAATCAGCAGTGCATTATACAGCGCCTAGGTCAGGGGTCGGCAACCAAAGTAACAAGAGGAGCCGTTTTTGTCAAATTCGGTAGAGAAAAAAAAATGTCAAGGGCCGCAATGCGCGTGAATAGGAGACTGCGGTCCCCAAGAAATAACGTCACGAAGCAGTCCTTAAAGAGCCGCATACGACTCCGGAGCCGCGGGTTGCCGACCCCATGGCCTTGGTCCTTGCTGTGACGTTGAACTTCTTTCGCGTCGTACGTAGCCAACCTTGCTAATCAGAGACATCGAACCCCACCCACCACCCCCCCCCCCCCACCGGGCTTAAACCCTGGAGCTCAGGGCTACCAGCTTTACTTCTATAATAGGGGCCGTGTGCCCTTTAAAACACTTTAGATAAATAGGGTTGTTAAAACAGCTGGTCTGATTTGAAGCTGTAAATGGCTGTTGAAATTAGATGTGGCAAGTGCACTGCATCAAGTGAGGGTGGGTGATGAATCTTTGTGTCCTTGCAATTGCTCACGTGCATGTGTCACGTGTGTCTGTGTGCCTGTGCGTGTGGTTACTTGCTGCCACCATGCCCCACCCGGGTGTGTGTGTGTGTGTGTTAGGTGCTCGCTAACCACTTGCCGCAACAAGTCGTTTGTGTTTGGGGAACAGTAGTGTTACAAACCCGGCGACCCGAGTTTGATTCCTACTCGTGGCCAACACCAGTGACATATCTGAATCCGTCCTGGGCCTCCCCTATGTTGACTTGGCCTCAAATGAGTACCTGGTGCGATGTGTAAGCAGTACCACTGGGGAGTCGAAGGCGGCCGAGCGTGGTGCTGGCCACCTTACACCCCTTTGCGTGTGCCACAGTGTCGGCTTTTATAGGCGCTCGCGAACAGCACTTGCCCCAACAGTCTGTTCAGGCTACACGGGGGATCTGTTTCTTTGTTTAGATTCACCGCCTACCCATTGGTGCAGTCAATCTTCAACAAGGGCATGGCCACGTGCTTCGCTTATGGACAGACGGGAAGCGGCAAAACCCACGTGAGTTCTAGGCCACCGCGCGGTCGCCCTTCGTCATTGGCGGTGGAGCAGTTCTTGCGACGGGGTCGCGGCCCGTTAACCTCTGGGGAACGGGAGTGCGCACTATTAAAACCGAAGATTCTCAACTCCACGAGAGGCTATCGTTTCGCGGTCTGCGTCTTAACAACTTCCTATGGCCCCCCGCATGTGATTGTTATTTAATTATATTATTTGTAGCCCCCTCCCCCCTCACCCCCCACGCTGTCCGCGTGCCCATCATTGGGGGGTGGGGCGGGGGGGGTGTTGGGGGGTGCGCAATTGTCCTTATCATTTTGAAGCTCTCTTCTGGCATAGTCAACATTAGTACTGGAGGAGGTGGCCGAGTGGTTTGATGGCAATGTCCACTTCATATCACCGAGCCAGCACCCCTGGGATCTTGAGCTGGTGTTGGGTGTCTCATGGAACTTATGCTCTAGTTAGAAAGCTGAGCAAGCGACTCTGAAATCTTCAAATAAAATGCTGGCGATAGTGACAATTATCAAAAGAGGCTGACGAGGGCCTCCTCGCGAGATGCCAGCCGCGAGCATTATCCTTCTTCCCCGCTGATAAGTGCGTGTTGTTGAAAGTGGGTTGCATAGACGTTAGAGCATAGAAATACAGTACAACACTTGGTTTGCTTGACTGCCGTCTGCTGCACAGCATTTAGCCCCCATAGCCGTATAATAACCCATGTGTGCATGGTGGTCACCCAAGTAAAGTAAGAGCGCTTGGGCAGGACGATGTACGTCTAGGAGGGATGATTACCGATGGTCAAGAATAGTTAAAACTTTAAATTAAATCATTCAATATTTTGATACTGGCATAATGGTCCCATAGAAATAATGATGATAGGTGGAATTTATAATTTTTCTTTGACTTTCCCACCCTCCCTCCCCCATCCTGCCTAGCACGGGATGTGTTTGACCTGCAGGGAGACAAGCACTACAGACATCTGAATCTGCACGTGTACGCCACCTTCTTTGAGATCTACAGCGGGAAGGTGAGGACGTGCGCATGTAATGAGTGTGAGCGTGTGAATGAATGGAATGCCCGTGGGAATGCAGCATGTGTGCAGATGTGCGTGTGAATGGAATGCGATGTAATTTTTATAGTCTTTTCTCAACCTCTGAATGAAGGGCCCCTCCCCATGTCACGTCCGTCATGGGTAACTTCAGCATGCTGGTCAGTGCGGGTTGTTGGTGAATGGGCTTCCCAGGACCGGTTCGGACATCAACTCGCCACTGATGTCAGCCATGGCTGGGAATGGGAATTCAGGTCGCCAGGTTCAAAGCGCGGTGCGCAAACTGCCGGTTGTATGAAATAAATGTGAACCAGGTACAGCCCATGGGCCCCCTGGGTTCCTTACCCGAATGCTATTTGGGGTGTGTGGGGAGCAGTGGTGTCGCGGTTAGCGTGCCGCGCTACGAACCCGGCAACTCGAGTTCGATCCCCGTCCACGGCCATCGCCAGTGACGATTATCCGAACCCGTCCTGGGTCCTCCCATAGGTCGACAGCCTCAAAGTGGAATACCTGGTGTGGCGTGTAAAATTTGCCGCCGAGGAGACACAGATGGTTGAGCATGATTGAGCATGTTAAACTTTTATGAGA